AAATATCTTTAATAAATCTTTACTGAGTTTTGATTCATTAAGGTATTTACGTCTTTTTCTTATTATTTTGGACATTTTAGTTACCAAAAAGATTGATATTTTGCAGTCTCTTCATTATCACTACAAAAGGAGAACTTCTGAGTTTATTAATTCAAGCCCATAAATTTGGCTGTCACGAACTTGAGTAACTTAAAAGTATTGGGGAACAGTTTGATCTCCACCTGGACCTGTTCAAGCCTCAATTACTACCTTTCTTTAGGCAGATCTTTGAAAATTCTGAATCTGATCTTAAATTGTGGTGCTTGAAAAGTCATCAGTACAGTTCACCAAGGACAAGGATGGGGACCAGCCTTTGAGGACAACTCCATTATTGCTAGGTTTCTGAAAACTACCCTTGTTAGCGATGTCAATGGAGTTAGCGGTGGTTGGGGGGCCATTGACTCATCTCCAGTTAGTGATGTCACTGGAAGTCTTCTCCTCCTGTGGGCCAAGGCAAAGACAGGCTAGTATGGAAATTTAAATAGGACCCAATTAAATTTCCCTATCCAGCCCATTGAGCCCAAAATAGAGGCCTTTGTGCTTGGTATGACATGTAGGGTATGTTTGGTACAACTAATGAGAAGTCTTTTTGAATTTTAAAAACTTTCAATTGCATAAAACACTACAATTTATGAAAAATATTACAACTTCTCACAAGTTAATCTTTTATTTATTTCATTGTAAATCTTAGAAGCACCGAATTGATGCTTTTGTATGAGTTTCTCATTTAAATTTTAATGAAATTAAAATATTATTCTTATTTTTTCTTTATTTTTCTTTTTATTTACAAAAACAACACTTTTATAACACTTTCTTTCCAACAAAATTTCTATTAAAAGATCCAGCCATACCAAACAGATACTTAGTATTATAACTATCCCTAAGGATATGATAACTAATAAAAATATTAAGTTGTTAAAATTGTAGAATTTTATTTTTAAAAATATTAATTATTTAATTTAATTAATAAAAATAGTTAATAATTATAATTATTAATTATTAATTGATATTAGTACCATTGATATTTATTAATTAATAAATTAAAATCAATCCATAAATTAAATTTTTAGATACTATTTAAAAATAAAAACTATAACTTTAGCAGGTTTAACATTTTTATTTTTTATAGTAACAATAATTATATCCGCAAGAGTCCTATAAAATCTATGATCTGAGGTCATTTTAAAACTTAACTCGAAGCGATATCATTTTGAAATTCATAAATATGAATTCAAGATTTCAAATTGTAATTTTTAGAAATCTAAATTGGCATGCACCTTTCCAGCTAAAAAGAGAGAAATTAAAAATGAAAAAAAGTGCATATAACATATTATTACCTCTTAAACAAATTATGAATCGTCCTAATATATCTATAAAAGAAGAAAAATTCAAGGGGAATATTCACATCTTCATACGCGATGATCGAGTTGTTATGGATTTTTTACAATGTGTTGTACAATGTCATGTGACATCAAAGAAGTAGTTGAGTAATTTACTCTTTTTTATTTAATCGAATGCTTAAATTCATATATTAGAAAAATGTTTATCAATTATACGTGTAAAAAATTAAATAAAAAATTAAAATTACATTATTTTAATAAATTGTTATTGAAAAAAAATTAAATTCTCTTATATTTTAATTCTCATTAAAAAAACTAAAACATTCTAGATTTAAAAATAAAAATGAAATTGTTTTAGCCTTTTTTTTTTTTTGATATTTTATTAAACTGACATAATTTTAAGATTTTTTACTTTTTTTTTTTATAATTCAACTAATAAATATTAATCTCTTAATATATTTACTTATTTAATTTCATGTCATGTTATTAAAAAAATAGTATATGAATCATTAATAGGGAGTGTTTATTTTTAATGTTTTTAAAACAAATATCAACTACTAACTCTAATAAAATAGATTAGAATGTTAAATTATAAATTACAATAATTATTATTCTGTTAGATATTGATTATACACTTATTTGAACAAGTAATTCAAACATCTCATTATTCTTTTAGAAGCAGAATCATGAAGGAAAGAGGATTTTTTTTGTTACAAACCCAGAAGTAACGAATTCTTTTATTCCAAACACTGGAGTGAGAATTTCACCCCCCCTCCCCTTTTCGTATTCTTCATGTATTTCATTTCATCAAGTTAGAATCATCTTTCCAGCTAGAACATTTGTTGCGGATAGCTGGCAAGGTCTCCTTTTGCCACGTGGACAATCGGGGTAGAGAGAGTTTTTTTTTTTTTTTGGTAGTAAGTAGTGAGATATGTTTCTTGCCTAACATGAGAAGTGTATATGAAGAAAGAGAATTATGGTTGGGTGCAGATATAAGACCTTTTCCCTTTCCCAAAATTTTCAATAAGGACAAATTTAATCTGCAATCCTAAATCTTTTGAGTTGCTAAGAAAATTATGCTCAACCTTTAAGATTGAACAAATGAGACCTTATTCTACTGCCATTTGGACAAGTTCTAGGCCTTCTATTACCATTAAGGTACAAATAATTTCAATGTGTAATGCCCATCACTCTTGAAAGTGGAGTTTGATTCGGTGCTTGTGGAGAGTGATTTGCAAATACCTGTTGGATTAGTTGGGTGAAAGGTTAGTTAGATACTCTTGGATCATGTTAAGAAATTATAACAAATCATTAACTTAATGACCTAGAAAATTTATGTAGGATGCCAAATTGACTATTTGGGTAAAGAAATATGAAATATTCACTCATTTAGCTACTTAAAATTCTATTTTTCTTCAAATTGTTTAATACTTTCCTTTTTGTTAAATTTGTATCTTATGTGAATTCTCTAGATTAATGAAATGACTCAATGAATTTATTTGTTGTTTGTCTAAAAATTAACTACGTTTATGGTTGAATTTTTTTTAGAAGAAAATGGTCATAGCATTATATTAATAAAGGAGACTAACGACCTGTTGATCTAAAAGGAAGCATATTAATTTATTTTAAATAAGGTTTTGATTTCAAATATTATAAATAAAAAAATAAGTATTAGGAGAGCTTCTCTATTATTCGTCTAACCTAACTCGACTACAAATTAGTCAAGATCCAATGTGGCTTTCGATATCTAGAGGTTTAGTACAACATATAAATAAATAAATAAAGAGGTAAAGTTCCATAAAAACAGCCAAAAAACAATTATAATGCATTCTCTAGTCTTCAGGGAGGCAACCTAGTATTCTTTAACCTTATCTATGGGAAAATGATTGGTACACACTCAATTTAACACAGTTTTTTACACTTATTTGGTTCATCCATAAAAAATATAATGTAAATACAACTAATTTGGTTGACTCTTACATCTTTTGTACATGGATGCATTTTTAAGTTTGTTTGCCTTTAATTTCAAATAAAAAAATAATAAATTTATAATAAGTGTGTTGAACTAAAATGTGTACCAATTAGTGTTCTTATCTATGCTACAACAAATAAATCCCTTAAGGCACATAGTAGCTTGCAAAATAGAAAAAACTAAAATGGATAACCAACAAAAATAAATGGTAGTTCTTGCTATCCTTCTACCCCTCAAGCATTAATTATACCACTATAGCACACCCGACACCATGGTAGCTTATTAAGATATGGATTAAAAATCATTCCACTATCTTTCTAAATTGTGGTAACACCCTTTACTCGAACAAAAACTCTAACCTAGCACACTAAATTAAAGCCATCTATTGCCACCATATGAACCTTGAGCACCAATAAAAATGTCTTTTCTATTTTGATTCTTCAATTTCCTACATAGGAGTATTAGTAAGCTAAAAACCACCAAAACCTACCATAAAGCTCACAGAGGCACCTTTCAACATGAATCATTGAATCATCATCCCAAACTAGTTCAATCCCACCCCCCATAAAGCTCTTCAATCAAAATCCCAATCAAACCCACCCAAACAACCTACCACCAATCGAGCATCATTACCCATAACTCTTCCTTGATACAGCTCACCCTTATCACCTTCATCCGTAAGCAACCCACCAGCACCACCTTCACTTTCCCTGCCATCCACCTTGCACCATAAGCAAAGCCAAACCAATTCACCCTTAACCTAAAGAGCCAACCGTTGCAAGGCCCAAGCCCTCCTTGTTACTTTAAAACATTGATTGCCTAGGAGAGAAAACTGTATAGCAAACTACTACCAAGATTGTTCTTCAAATTTCCCATCTAGCTACTAAACCTAAGGTCGTACCCCCTTAGCCTTCGCCTGGTATCATAAGAAAATAATCCCCACCTCCATTGGCAACCCTAGGAAGGACAATAGAATTGATACAACCCTCATAGGTGAAGTTGAAGGGGGCAAGCCACATGTACTTTGCTAGAGGGATCAACACCCTTGTTGGAATTGCCACTCTTAAACTAAGGGTATACCTTCTTAGATTAGTTGGTGGAGTGAGATTGGTTTTTAAAATGATTTTGCCTTTTAAAAAAAGATGAATTTGTTTTGATGCAGGTACATTAGTTGATAGTCGAAATTTTAATTGATTATAATGTTAGGCTTTAAGAGGTAAAGAACCCAATTGCTCAATTTTAAAGATTGAAGAAAACTTTGTAAATGGCTCTAAAGCTTGAGGGCTAAATGAAATATATATGTACCCTTTTTTACTCAACACAATATAAATTCACATTTATTGACTTTATGGATACTCGAAGGTGACATGGGACCTGAAACCTCTCCCTTTCTCCCGTGTGGTGAAATGAAATAGCTTTCACAAGATTGCCCCATCTCCACTCAACCGTCACAATTTCTTTTGAATTTCAACCTTTATATAGTTTTGTTAATTAATTAAACCATTTATAACGAAATCAAATCTATACCCTTTTTGACAGTGTTAAAAAAAAAAAAAAGACAATAAATCTGCTTTTATTCCCCTTCAAGCTAACCCAAACTTGACATCCAAGCAATCCCCTTTTCCATCTCCATCGCAGTTTCTCCATTGAATACCAGAAAGAAGAATTTTTTAGGTATCTGTCAAGACTAAAGACAAGGACACTATACTGATAACTAAAATGTAAAAAAAAAAAAAAAAAGGAAAAAAAATTAAGAGAGAAGGGAATTTTATTCCTTTCCTTCCCTTAAGTTAAACATTTGTTGCACTTTTCTTTCCCTTCCCTCTTTTTCCCTTTTATAATTCTTTCTCTTTCTCTCCTTGTAGTTTTTGTCTAGAGTGGAGGTGGAGGAAAAGAGAAGGGGAAGTGGAGTGTGGGATGGGCATAAAGAGGACACAGAAGAAATCATCATGACTTGGTGTAATGACTGTAGTGATGTGCAAACTGTGGAGAGAAAAAGGTCAAGTTCGCCCCCTCAGCTGCCGTCTGATAGACCGGTGATTCTGTCTGAAAGACACAAGGGTTGTTTGGTTAGGGCTTGTCCTTCTTGTGGTCATCAGATCAAATATCGTCAGCAGGCATGTTTTTATTTCTTTGTTATTAATTATAACATGATGATTGGTGTTAATGATATAAGTATGAATACCTTGTTGTAGGCCGGAATTCACGATTTGCCCGGGCTACCGGCTGGTGTGAAGTTCGATCCGACGGATCAAGAGCTTCTAGAACATCTGGAGGGGAAGGTTAGGGGTGATGTTCGGAAGCTTCATCCTCTCATAGATGAGTTCATCCCTACCATTGAAGGAGAGAATGGGATTTGTTATACTCATCCCGAAAAGTTGCCAGGTGAATTATTTTTATTTAATTTCCAAGTATGCTTTTAAGTTTTTAAAAAACAAGATTTGATTTTTGGGAGATAGAAAAAGGTATAAAATTTAATACAAATTTCATAATCGGATCAAGATACTAACAAAGAAAATGTTAATTATATATTTTTAGTCCATCATGAGCTATCTGTTTCGAAACACTGCAGAAATTTGAACTCTTAGCGCATTGGATAAGCAAATGGTCTGCTTCTTTTCATTGTGTAGGAGTTAGCAAAGACGGCCTAATACGCCACTTCTTCCACCGCCCCTCCAAGGCCTACACTACCGGAACTCGTAAGAGGCGCAAGGTTCACACGGACGATGAAGGCGGTGAGACCCGATGGCACAAAACGGGCAAGACCAGGCCAGTCTCCATCGGGGGCAAAGTGAAGGGGTACAAAAAAATCCTGGTGCTCTACACCAACTATGGCAAGCAAAGGAAACCAGAAAAAACCAACTGGGTGATGCACCAGTACCATCTCGGAAACAATGAGGAGGAGAAAGATGGCGAGCTGGTAGTCTCCAAGGTTTTCTACCAAACACAACCCCGACAATGTGGATCAGTTAAGGATGCTCTGATTCCGATTAAAGCAATGAAGATGCAAGGAAATGAACAAGGATTGAATGGTCTTAAAAACAGTGGGAATATTGTTGAGTACTATAATGCATCTCCATTCATATCCTTTGATCAAACCGGGCAACACAGAGCTAACCCTAGCCAGGTTTTTCCACAATATTCAGTCCATGAAGGGAATTTTATACCTTAGAAGGACACACATCTGCATTCATGATGACTTTATAAATTAATTAATATGGTTATAATTTTGGGAAGAATAAGAATGTTCTCTGGCTGGAAGAAGGCCAGAAGGGTAAGAGATACATTCTTTTGGAACTTTTTTTTTTTTTTTTTCAAAGCATGCTTTGTGCAGTGACAGCAGGAAGAAAGATTTGTGTAAATGTGTCACATATTGGGTTAACTTTGGAACTGTACAAAGATGATTCTTACATTAGTAGACTGGTAGACATATAAGTTTATATACTTTATACTGGATGTATACTTTGTCCCTTCTAAAGTGGGATTGTACTTTAAAATAAAAGAGCACATTGCATGGTATAAAAGAGTACATTTCTCAATAGATCAACGAAGATAAGTAAATTGTTTTTCTGTAGAGAAAAGCAAGGTTCTTGAATGGATTAAAGTTTTATTTTCCTTTCCTTTCTAAGTTGTCTTTCTGGATCTTCAATCTCTTCTCAAAATGCTCTAACATCAAATCAATATAATAATATAGGTTTAATCCCCTATTAAGGGCCTATTTGGTACAGCGGTTAAAATTCAGCGGATAGCGGGTAGCGGGTAGCGGAT